TCCAAAGGTGACATGTTGTGGGACTAACTCAGCTCTATTGCTCTTCAGAAGCAGAGAAGTCACTGAACAGGCTTCCGGGCTGAATTTTTTCCAGCCCTTTTGGGAAAGTTTTTCCATAACTTTAAGTCAGTTTTATTGAGGTACAATTTATATATTTTAAATTCACCCTTTTTAGGTGTACAGTATGATGGGGTGACAACTGTATACAGTTGTGTGACCACCACAACAACCGTGATCTAGAACATTTCCCTCACCCAAAGCATTCCCCTGTGGTTCTTTGCAGCCTACCCCCTTCCCCATGTGCAGCTGCTGGCCAGCCCTACTCTGCCTTCTGTCACTATAGTTTTGCCTTTTCTAGAGTTTCAGGTAAGTGGATTGTACCTTACAGCATGTAGTCCTTCGTGTCTGGCTTCTTTTACGTAGCATAGTGATAATTTTTGAGATCTGTCCATGTTATGTGGATCCATAGTTGGTTTCCCTTTACCACCGAGCAATATTCCATGGTATGGATATGCCTCAATTTGTTTATCTATTCACCAGTAGATGAGTCAATACCTTTGGGTTCTTCCCAGTGTTGTGCCATTATGAATTAAAGTATCACAAAATAAAATGTAATTAACAATTGCGTATAGGTCTTCCTGTGGACGTGTGTTCTCCTTACTCTTAGGTGGATAGCTAAGGACTGTTGGGTCATGTGGTGAGTAGGTTTAACTTGATAAGAAACTGCCAAACTGTCTTCCAAAGTGACAGCACCCTTGCGCATTCCCGCAGCCATACATATCTGAGGACTCTGGCCACTGTACCTCCTCACCAGCGCTTGGTATTATGAGTCTTTTTCATTTCAGCCATTCTAGAGGATGTATTGTGGTATCACATTTGGTTTCGTTGCTGTTGTTTTGGATTAAATTTTGAATTTAAAAAATTCAGTTTCTCAGTTTTTTCCTTTTAATGATTTTTGCTTAGCGTCCTAAGATGTCTAACCCAAGATCACAAAAACTGCTGCCTATATTTGCAGTTAAATAATAAAATAATAAAATAAAATAATAAAATAAACCATTTATTTACTTTAAATAAATGGTTTCAGGCTTAATCTTCATGCCCTCCGATTACTCTCCTCTGCCTTTGAACACAAACACTTCCCGTATTATAGTAAAGTCTGACGGAAATGTGTATTAAGTTTTTAAATTCACGCTTGGTGTGTACCTCCTTCACTATCCTGGGTCTGCGTTGCCTCCTATGTGCTTGTTTGTGCAAAGCCAGGCAGACACACACACAGAATTTTCTGGAATCCAAGGTCTGTCCTCTGTAGTTGTCCTCCCATGCTGCAGCAGAGGGCGTTACTTTGTGTCTCACAGTCAAGCCGCTCATTATGACAGCTCACGTGGCTTCCACAGAGAACAATCACATTTGTTATGCTCTTAGGCCAGGCCCCATTCCAAACCCTTTTACATATTGTAACTAACTTAGTCCTCAAATCCCTGAGGAAGAAAATGAAGGCTCAGAGACTTCAGGCTCCCTATAATTCAGTCAGTTTGTGGCAGGGTCAGTGAGATCCGGAGTGGCTTAATTCCAGGCGCTTTGTTCTCCTCACTGTAATAAACCCCACAGGCTGTGGCTGGAGTCTTCCATGATTGAGCACATCTTGGGACACAATAGCCACCTGATTGTTGTCTCTCTCGAATCAGATGCATCTCCAGTCAGTTCAGACACCTAATTCTAAAGTCCTCCAGTGGGGCCTTTGGACAGTTTCCCAAAGGATGGCCCTTAGCCCGCAGGCAGAGACCCGCACGTGTCAGCAGGGCCCCAGAGGAAGGCAGTGTGGTTTGTGCACCGCACAAAGTGCACAGCGAAGGGGGCAAGTAGGGGCTGAATCGTCCAGCCTGCTTTTGTGCTGTTGGGCCCACAGGGCTGTGTCTCCCCAGAGGATGTTTTTTAGTTCCTACAAATGCACTGTATCTGCCAGTAGAGGCCCTGTCCTCTAGGTGAAGCCGGCTAACCCCTGGGCTAGTGACTGCAAGTGTCGACACGTGCTAAGTTCATCACCACATCCCACCCTCCTGGCCCTCCCGACTGGCTGAGGACTGAGCACATAACCCATGTCAGGAGATTCTTGGCCAATGAGGCTTAGTCTGGAGGCTTCTGTTTGAGGGCTGTGGGTCTCTTTTTTCTCAAGGTGAGGACTGGAGCTGTGGCAGCCAGTCCTGCAACTAGATGGGGCTTGATAATGAGGTTCATTCCCACCAAAAAAGGTCTAAAAAGGCAGAGAGAAAACCCTATTCTGGTGACTTTGTTGAGCCCTTGGTCAAGTTATGCCTGAAGCCCCCATCTCCTCATGGACCATGGAGTAACATATACCAATAAATTCTCTGTTTTGCTTAGACAGTCTAGCTCTCAGTGTGACCAAGAACCCACCGACTAGTCCATACATAGCGCACCCAGGCCCGCCCCCCGGGCCCCTTCCTGGCTCTGTGTCTCCATCACAGAGCCTGTCGCCCTCTCATAAGACATTATTTACGTATTTAGTTAATTGAGTTTCTCCCTCCACTCACCCCTGTTGAAGTGTATGCTCTATAACAGCAAAGGATTTTTCGGGTTTGTTCCCGGAATGAGTTCCTAGCACACAGCATGTATTCAATAAAATTCTGTTGAATGATATACCTACTCGCTGAATAATTAAAGATCGCTAAAATTCCATATGCACAACTGGAAACCAGGGCAGTTCTAAACTTAACCAAGGACCAGCCTTCTAATAAGACATGTGGCTGCCTGCTCTCGTTTGGGAATGTCGCGAAGCGCACACGGTGCTCACGCATGCGCAACTTGTTGGCATTCGGCAATTTCAAGGAGGGAGCTTAGTTAGTGCTAGTCACCACGAGTGCTTTAGGTTAGTGATGCTGTTCGGATGGAACTATTTTCATATTTTAAATATTTTTAATGTTTTTACAGAATGACTGTTAGATTTTACTTTGTTTTGTGTTGGTATATCTGTTATTTGTCACTTTTGGGAAGTTTATTTTGTTTCTCTTTACTTTGCTATCATGAGCTCCTTTTCTTCAGGAGAGGATGAAAGAATTAGGGGATGTGGGTGGGCCATGGTATCTTTTATCTCTCATATGTACCATAGTCAAGAGACATTGAGAACCTCTACCTTTTTGGGGTGTTGTGATTCATGTTTCCTTTACATTCTGTTAATTCTTACAGGAAATACCACAGAATCTGGCACTTAATCCAGGGAGGTTCTTACATGGCTCCTATCAGTTTGGCATTCCAGATTTATCTTCCATCTCTGTTATAGAATCTGATACTTTTGTTTGTTTCTCTGACGGTCGCTTGCCCAGAACACTCGTAGGAGTTGGTGATTGCTTTTTGCTGAAGCTATCAACTTTGAAAGAATGACCCTTTTCCATCTGCCTGTCATGTTGTCTGAGCTCCCACCATTAAGATATTTATCCTTTGGGTTAATAAGCTTTTTCATGCTTAGAAGGAGCAACACAGGGGCACCTGGGTGGGTCAGTCGGTTAAGTACCTGCCTTCAGCTCAGGTCATGATCCCAGGGTCCTGGGATCAAGCCCCGCATCCGGCTCCCTGCCCAGCAGGGAGTTTGCTTCTCCCTCTCCCTCTGTTCCTCCCCCTGCTCGTGCTCTCTCTCTCTCAAATAAATAAATAAAATCTTAAAGAAGAAGAAGCAGCAACACATTATTTCTGATGTCTTCTTCTTTGGTTACCAAAAGGGTGACAAGGGTGTGGGGGAAGGGAGGAAGAAGTGGAAGAGTGGCATGACTTCCCTTCTCCTCACTGCATTCTTCTCTGAGCCAGCATGGGACAGCTGGTCTCAGCCTGCTGAGGTCACAGGGGAGCAGGAGAGCATCCTCAGGTTATCACAGATAAAACTCTGTGTTCACCAGTTGGCAGAGCAACATGGGTGAAGCCAATGGCCATCCACCCAGCCTGAAGCACATGGCCTGGCCACACGTCTTCTCCTCTCTGGGGCTTCTAAGAAATGCAAATGTGATCACACCAAAGCCACATTTTCTGTAATTGTCAAGTCCATATTATTTCTTCTTACATGGCCAAGTAGATTCCTGACCTAGGGAGTCATGAATCTGTATGAGGGAAAAAGTACCTCCTGAGTATTGGAGAAACCACCTCATAAGGGATCTCAAACCTCACTAGGCAAAGAGACTTGAGCAAGATGACGGGGCTGTTAGTGGCAGGGGGGAGAGAGGAACATCGGGCCCCAGGCAGCTCCAGGGCACTGGCTGTGACTCTTGTCACAGCGTGCATACACTTCAATAACCCCCACCCACTCACCCCCACACTGAGGCTGGCCAGGCACGTTGCCTCCCTCTCTCTAGTCAGACCAGGGCTGCAGCTGAGGGGGAGCTATTCTGAGGAAAGGCAGGGACAAGGAAGAAGGACATGAAGAGGCACGTGGGTATGTTCTCTGAGTCTTATTTCACTGTTTCATTCCCATCGTTGTCAATGCAGACAGCTATTTATTAAGAGATGGCCCTGGAATCTATGGTTCATGTCAGCCTAATAGGGACCCTACTGGTAAACATTCCTCGTGGCAGAAGGAAAACTAAGCAGGTGTCTGAGCAGGAGGATCTGGGCACTAGAGAAAGGGCAGAGGGGTGCAGAAGCTGAAGGGGGCTGGGGGCTCACTCCTGACGTTCCTCCTCCTGTCTCCAAACCCTTGATGAGACATTTCCACTTGGCTGTTTACCAGTCCCCTCCCTCCTCTGAGACAGCCAGAAGTGAGGAAGATGAAAGCAGAGGACCATGGAGACAGATCCCGGGGTGACCTTTAGAGCTAGAAGCCACTGTCCTACCAGCGTTGAGGACTTGGCTTCTAACAAACCTAAAAAAGTGAGTGCAATAAGGGCCTCATCAGCCTCAGTTGCTATGTTTACTCGAAGATGATGATCAGAGGCAGCCAGCGCGTGCAGAGGGAAGGGGACAGGGGCTCGCGTGGCATGGGCTCAGCCCGGATGCTCGCTCTACGGTCGGTATTTGCACAGGAAGTGCTGGTGTTTGCTGCATTCGTTGCTCTCCCAGGTCAAAAAATCTGCAAGAAAATAAAGAGATGTTCAAATCCATCCGGTTCTGTACTGCACTTACCCGCGTGACCTGGGTGTTTTGCTTCCAACCCCGGGGAAGGTACTGCCATGGTTCATTTCATGGGTTGCCTGGGCCAGGATGTGTGGCCCAGTGTTGGGTCAAACGCCGGTCTACATGTTGCTGGTGAAGGATTTTTTTTTTTTTAGCTGTGATAAATATTTAAATTAGTCGACTCTGAGTAAAGCAGATTATCCTCCATAATGTGGGTCATCATCCAATCAGTGAAAAGATGGAGTTTGCCCAAGGAGCAAGGATTTCTGCCTCCAAAGTGCCCCCAACTCAAGACTGCGATATCAGAGTCGCTGGCCCGCCCTGCGCACATCAGCTTTGCCAGCCCAACAATCGCATGAGCCAATTCCCTAAAAGAAATCTCTCTCTCAAGACACGTATCATATGATCTCACTGATATGAGGAATTCTTAATCTCAGGAAACAAACTGAGGGTTGCTGGAGTGGTGGGGGGTGGGAGGGATAGGGTGGCTGGGTGATAGGCATTGGGGAGGGTATGTGCTATGGTGAGCACTGTGAATTGTGTAAGACTGTTGAATCACAGATCTGTACCTCTGAAACAAATAATGCAATATATGTTAAAAAAGGAGAGAGAGAGAGAGAGAGAGAGAAGCTAGTAGGAAGGAAAAAAGGAAGGGGGGGAAATCGGAGTGGGAGACAAACCAGGAGAGACTATGGACTCTGAGAAACAAACTGAGGGTTCTAGAGGAGAGGGGGGTGTAGGCTGGTAATGGGTAGTAAAGAGGGCACGTTCTGCATGGAGCACTGGGTGTTATACGCAAACAATGAATCATGGAACACTACATCAAAAACTAGTGATGTAATGTATGGTGACTAACATAACATAATAAAATAAAATTTAAAAAAAAAGAAATTTATCTCTCTACATATGCATCCTATAACTTCTGTCTCTCTGAAGAACCAGACACCAACACCGGTACTAACTTTGTTACCAGAAAGAAAAATAATTTAGACGTTACACACAATGGCAGAAGCCCCATGCCCACATCCCTTCTGAGACCCTCAGAGCTTGACATGACTCCACAGAAAGTGGGGTCCTTTGTGTTGGAAACAGGATGCTGTGAGGGTGATTTCTCCAAAGTTCACAGCTGAGGCACTACGCAGCGCCTGTTTGAAGGTCAAAGAATTGGAAGCCGCCAAGCCAGTCATGGCCCACAGGCCATCCTTTTATAAGGAAGGACCCAGAGCAAGGAGGAGGTGGGTCTTCTGAAACTGAAATGTTTTTGAGGAGAGGTCCAACTATGGCCACGCACAGAGTCGCTTGTCACTGCGGGTGTGTGCAGCAGAGCGCCGAGTCTGGATGTCTGCCTGGCTCTGACCCATCCTGGTGCCTCCTCCCTTCCTCAACACCAGGGAGGTGCGTGAATGGGACCACAGCCCCCGAGTTGGTGGGGCTAAACCTGGTACACAAATATAAAATGACACTGAAGGGGCCAAGGGAAGGCTCTCTAAAATTCTCACTAGTCCTTGTGCTTTTCTGGCTCGAGCACCTGTATTCTGGTAGCTCAGAGCTGGGCTGAGTGACCCCAAGGAAAGGAAGAGATTCTGAAAGACCCAGCGTTCACAGGAGGACATCAAGTTTCCTGGTCCCACGCAAGTGACTTTGTTCCTAGGCACTTGCCCCTGTGAACGTGGACTGACGGGAAAGACTTGTGTTTGAGAACTTGGTCCAGTTGAAATCTCAGAATCAGGGGAAGGACTCCGGAGGACATCCGGTCCATGGCTTCCCCAAAGGTATTCTGGCCTCCAGCCCTAGAGCTTCGGATGTTGTAGGTCCAAAATGATGCCTGGAATTTGTATTTTAAAAGTGTTCCTCAATCGCTTCTCCATGTGCCTTGGAGCTTCTCTTCTAACACTTTTAGCAGCTGCAGTGACCACTTTTGCTTGGCTAACTCTAGTGATAGGGTTCTCACTACTTCCTGGGGGTAACCCAGTAGATTTTTGGGTAGTGTTAATTGCTCAAAATTTTTTTCCTTAGCTTAGGCAGAAATCCACATTTTGTTAGCTTCTACCTATTGGTCTCGGTTGTGTTCCTTCCATCTGGGCTGTCTTGAGCCTTTCCCAGCAGCGGTTATGATCTCTGCAAGTCTGTGAGAAGTCCTTCCCTCATCTGTGAGGAGACCCTCTTATTGTGAAGGGTCTAGACCATTCATCCTTTGCTGCTGGAAAGTTTTCCTGCTCTTTTTTGTGCATATAAACTTTATTCCTCAGACGACAGCCACCCTGCCTCATGTCCCTGAGTCTTTAGTCCGGGCCTTTCCCAGACCCACTTCCTGCCTGGAGGGGTGTCCTGGTGACACCTTGGGGCCTTTTAAACCCACTGGGATGTTGTCTTTGGCATTGAGTAGCCTCTTTGATATTCTGTTTTCTTGTTTTACAACGGAAATCTTCCACATCACTTATCCGCTGTGGTTCTCAAATTCAAGCAATTATGCCCCCTAAGGGATATTTAGCAACGTCTGGAAACATTTTGGTGGAAACAACTTGTGGTGGGGGAGGGGTGGTTCTACTGACATGTAATGATTAGAGACCAGGGTATCCTAAACCTCTGAAGAACAGGGCAGCCCCCACAACAAAGAATTACCCAGCCTCAAAGGTCGTTGGTACAAAGGTCGAAAACTCTATCTTATTAGCATAAAAAGCAAGGAATGAAAGCAGACGAGAGAAACAAGGAGACTCACATGATTGTGTGCAGCCTGCCGCTGAGGTTCTGGGCCCTGCGCTTTGGGGTCAAAACTCAGGGAAACAAACAAGAGGGAAGAAAGCAGGCCAAGAGGAGGTCCCCAGGGTTCCCCAGGAGCCCTAACTATCAAGAAGCCGGCAGGGGGTCCCACATATTTGCACCCGGTAGTCTGGGTTTCTCAAAATGTGGCATCTTTCCCCCTCATCGTATGAATATAATAGGATTTAAAAATAAGCCTATTTAAGGGGAAAAGTGAGTGGATTTAAAGAACATACTAAGTAAATAACTGAACAGCTGGGTCATAGGTGCGGCCAAGATTGTAACATGGTCACAGCCGACTGAAGGTTGCTACACCAGGTCCGTGGCAAGGCCGCTCTCCTGTAGAAAACGGAGTCGCTGGTGCGGATGGGGCGACAGGGAGCAGACGTTCCATTTTTTGCTCTTACAGGGAAAGGGCAGGAGCTCCGATTTGGGAAGAGGCGAGGGGCGGTGCGTGAGAACTTACCGTTCTTGAAGCTCATCGCCGCACAGTACTTGTCCCTGTGCCTGGACGCGTCAGACCAGCTTCTGTAGACATAGAAGGCCCCATCGATCCACTGCCATTGTTGCTTCTGCAAGTGACCAGAGATGGATGACAGTCCGCCTGCAGGCCTCACAGCCCCTTAGAAACTTGTAAAAATGTGCCATTGCAAAAACTAGGAAAGCCCAGAAACGTGCATGGAATGAAACAGAAAACTCACCCCATTTGTTCACTGAGAGGAAAACATCACTAACAATTTGGCATATTTCCTTCTGGTGTAAACATTTTTCTCTCTCACCATATTTTTATGTGCTAACATATGTGGTGATCTTTAAAATACCTCTTCAGCTGTGCACCTTGCTTTCTAAACATTTTTAAATGGTCATGATGTTACTAGAATATACCTTAATTCTGTTGATGATGTTTATGTTGTTTCCAACTTACTCTTATTATAAAGAATACTGCCATGAACAACTTTGTTTCTAGAGCTGTTTCTGCACTTAAACTTATTTTCTTAGGATAGAAACCCAGAAGTAGAATGAATGGGTCAAAGGGCATCAATATGTTGAGGGTACTGATAGGCATGGCCAACCTACCTTCCGAACACTTTTCAGTTGTAGGAATTTAAGTCCCCATCTACTGGACAACTTCTTTATATCCTTAAAAAAATCCTCTTAATGCATACATTAAGACAAAGCGAAAGCTTGATGATCTGATAAGTCAAATTATATTGCTATTTTAATTTGCATTTCTTCAATAACTAGAGACACTGCACAATTTTTGAAAGGATTTGATGAGCTATTAACTTTCTTCAGTTGTGAATGTAGAAAATTAAATCACCAAAACAAATCTGGTATATATATATATATATATGTAAATATTTGTCATTTGTCTGGACTCTGAAGGAGAGAGTTCTGATTGATAGCAATGTGAATAGATAAAAATGTATAATTAATTGTATAAAATACTGGCGACATCTATGGCAAAGTTTTGTCAAGAAACAGAAAGTCTGGGGGTTCTCTTCTTGTGTTTCTTACGTCTGTTTGGGTTAATGATAGAAGACCCACAAAGAATCTGTAAACTGCAGGTCCCACATAGAGACCTCTGCAACCAGCCCAAAGACCTCACATGCCATTCTTTACAATGAGGTATTTGACGGAGACTGAAATGAGGGCCTAGTGAAAAAAGTTATGGATGACATAAAAAGCACAATAGCATCTAGGAAAAGGCTTGGCTGAAAGTTCTCAACTTTAACTCAAGATCTAATGGGAATTTAATTAAGCCAGATCCCATAGCAGGTGTGTGTGTGTGTTTATATACACGTATATATATGTATGTTTATGTATATATGTATGTATATACCTATATATACTTACACAACTTTTTTTTAAGGGTCTGAAAAGCCAGTCATTTGGTGTTCTAAGATTTGGGAGGACTTTACTTAGAAGTTCTATAAAATGATGCCATTGAAATAATTTCCTCCACCAAGAGCCAGAACTGAGACCCAGAGCTTGAGACTCTGGTCTCTATGGATTGGAGGCAGTGACTGAAGGAGATCCAAAACCTGTGCCCCCTGTCAGTAGGCCTGGATGCCATTTCCCAGACTAGGGGCTATCTATCCGGCTTTCCCCAGGGGGCACCAGTGGGCCAAGTCCGAGGTTACCTTTTGTGGGTCGTGCAGGCCGATCCACACGGGCTGGTTTTTTTGGTAGCCAGTTATGTATTTTGCTACTGTGGTGGCTTCTTTTACACTCTGGAGAGACGCTAGGTGGGCTCCGTTTCCGTAGGACTGACACTCGAGCTGTGGGCAAGACGTCTTGCTAATCATCTCTTTTGAGTTTTAAAAGCATAATCCTCACCCCAGAACCCTAGTGCTCCAAGCAACATGGAGTGCGCAGCCCCACCATCCCAGAAGTTGAGATCTACACTCTGTGACACCGCCTGTCTCCAGAGGAGAAAACACAACTGCCCCAAGTGCGGGGTCTCGGAGGAAGAGGCGGCTCGAGGCAAGGTTGTGAGCTTTAGGGTCGGTGGACATGCCTGGGGTCCTCCTGGTCTTGCCTCGAGCTACTGTATGTGACCTTGACAAGTCACATGACGTCTCGGAGGTTCACTCTCCTTATCTGTAAAGTCGAAGAAATAATTACTCTGCTACACAAGGGAGTTGTGTGAGGATATAATGGCTAGAATTAAATATTCTAATTCTGCATTTCAACAAATCTAAGAAATCACTGATCATAAAATGTGCCCTTTGTTTCACGTCCCACTAGAAAGGAAAGAGAGAAAAAAAAAATAAGTGCCACGTCATCTAAGGGAACACACATGAAGGGGATGAGTCTCAGAGCAGATAGAATAGGGTGGGCTCTTCACGGAGCACCTCCAAAATGATGAGCACCTCACACACACTATCCCACTCAATCCTCACGCCAGTCTCAGGAAGTAGGACCCACCTTTAGTTTATGGTGGAGAAATGCACAATCAGAAAAGGGTGTTAGACTTAGTTGCCCAAGAATAGAGCCCAGGTCTGTGTAACTCCCAAGTTTGATGTCGGTTTTATTGTAAATTATTCTGGCCCTATACTGCACAAGAATAATACACTGTAAATTGTAAACAGTGCTCTGTACCTTATCTTCATTTGGTACCAAACAGGAACAGTGTGGACTGTCCACAAATCTGTGATGCTTCCTCCAAGGAGAGGGGACACTCTTCAGATGTTGGTCGAGAATTGAAGATCCCGTGTTCGCGACTTTCTGATTCTAGATGAATATGCCTGTCTGTTTGCTTTTCCTCAGCAGTAGCCACAAGATTTAATCCAGTTGGAGTTTTGAGTGTCTTCATCCCAGTTAAAACAGATGAGGGCTGGTGTGTAAGCATGTATCTGCTCTGTTGCAACTTTCCAGACCCAAGTTTGTTTTACTACTGTATGTTTTTTTTTTTTTTAATCCCAAATTCTTGTTCTTCAAAGATGCTACTTTCCTTCCTATGCAAGAGAATGCGGGTGGGATTTTTCTTATCGATTACGGAATGATAATCACATTTTGTTTCAGGTATCAGATGGAAGTTGTGGCATAACTATTCCCTAACCAGAAATTTACTGCCCAATTAAAGGAGACAACCTTTTATATACACACATCTTAGAGCTAGATAGAGATATATACTTATTTTATGCTCTTTGGGGGTTGTGTTACAGGATCTGCCTACATGATAAAACCTAATTTAACACAACTTAGTTGAATAAAAACATGGCTTTGGCTGGGGTTGCTATTTCAGTGCTTCCTTCTGGTATCCTGCTCACGATGAGATGTGGTTAGAGTTGAATGTTCCTACAGGCCTCCCATTTGTCAACCACTTCACAACACCAGAATGCTTCCAGACCCCTAATTTCATTTGACTTTCAAACTTGTGAGGCATGGAAGCCAGATTACCAGTCAACATTTAGTGAGAGTACCAGTCACAAAGGATTCCTGGGACAGAAGAGGAAACGGGCTCCAAGTGGTCCCGTGAGCTTTTCCTCCAAGTTCCCACGCCTGGTAGTGAGGGAACCGGGCCTGGAACCCAGACCCCTCTGCCTCTCGTGTGCAAGATCAGATCTACCCACCATCTTCATGGTCGCCTCCGTACCAGGGCTCTCGAGAACTAAGATTGGTCCTCAATACTGGCAACTAGTCAAGAAGCAGCAATGGCCATGGTAAAGGTTTGTCGGGTCCTTTTCCAGCACCTTCTCTGCCTTCGGTTCAGGAGTAACCTGTCAACTCTGCTAAGGCTCTGGATCAATCCTCTGGACTGTTTTTGCCTTGAGAGAACCTCAACTGAGCACCCAGCCTGTGCCATAGGCTCTTTGCAAGTTATTTTAATGAATCCTTCTGAGAAGCCCGTAGGATAAAGTGCCATCCCCATTTTAAAGCAAGAAAACCAGTCAAGTGAGGTACGACTTAACTCTGTCAGGCAGGGTCATGGTTTAAACTCAGGTCTATATTACTCCCAAGTCCCCCAGGTATCTTCCTCTTTGTGTTGGCAGAATTCGTGTTGGAATCTCTGGAAACAGGCAGCACAGGCGGCCTTTCAAGATTTCTTCAAGTTGCTTCTCAAGAATTGAGGAAAAGTTCATTGCTCTCCACCAGCTTTCTTTCTTTCAGCAAACAGTGTCTGGGAAACCCCTAGTGTTTTCTCTCTCTCTTTCTTCCTCTCTCTCTCTCTCTCTCTCTCTCTGTAACCATCATCCACATCAGCCCAGGAAGCATTGCATTAGGGCTGATTTCCTGGGTTTGTTCCACTAGTTACTCTGGGTATAACCTTGGGAGAGTCACTCATGCTCACACTGCATTGAAATGTTCTGTTTAAGTGTCACAATCTTGCACTAATCCTGCACTTTTTAAGGCCGGAGAAGACTCTGTAGCCTCAATAGCTGTCACTTATTAAGTGCTCCATCATGACTGAATTATTTATATGGAGAATTCTGAGGACACTCTGGGCCCAGATCACACCACATTTCCCCATAAGGTGGCCCCAACCAGTCACGTCCATTAAAGAACCACAACCCAGAGAAACAGCTGCATGGGCTCCCCACACTCCTTGGAGGTGAAGTGGCTACTTGGGTATCTTCTAGACAAAGCCTCAGTGAAACAAAACCAGTGCCTTTGTTGGGGGGTGTAGGCAGTGATGCCTTCCATTTGTTTAGACTGCTTCACTTTTTGTCAGGCAGTTCTGAAGACCATGCCCCAGGCCTGGCTGCACACGGCCTTCTCTGGTAAACGAATGAGTAGGACACATAACCGCCTTCTCCCCATTTCAGCAGCCAGGTGCCTCCTCAGAATGCCGAGGCAGGACCCTTGCTTCTGAGTCACATGAGACCTGCAGCACCCCGTGGCCCTCGGCTTTAGAGACACCTGTCCAAGCATGGGGCCCAATTTCTTACCTCAGCTTCAGACCAGCTCCTCAGCTTCCGGAAGTATCCATAGCAATTGGACAGGTAGTAAAACCATCCGGGAGCACAGCTGGGTCTCATGAGGATGTCTACACAGACATCAGAGGCAAGCATGAGTTAGGAGGGCAAAAAACAATCATTTCCCACGTGGTCAGTTTCCAGAATGACCCAGAGGCTGGGTGCCCTGAGGAAGGATCCTGCTAAGCTGCCAAAACTTTATACCGTTCATCTTTCTCCCAGCCTTCTCCAAAGGGAACTACGGCCTTTATAAGGGTAACTGTGCATTGGAGAAAAGGACACAATCAGAGCTTTTGAGGATCACTGGTGGGTGCTGATTCTGAACTGACACGAATTCCAGGAGACTCAAAAGCGTCACGGTGGTCCGTCCGGGGAGGGGCTTATGGACGTCAGGTGACCACAGAGGTTTAGCTAGGAGGTTCACAGCAGGCCTGGTGGGACCCCCAGCCCACCCTGTGATTGTTTCCCCCGCTATCAAATGCACAATTGGAACAGACACACTGAGCAACTGGCACAATCCCCACTTTGGTCATGAGGTCGAACAGCCAGAATTGAAGGCAGCACCTGAGGGGACGAGGGGCATACATTGAAAGGTTTTAGGCATTACACGGAAGGAGGGGTGGTTTCGGCCAGGAGGGCACAGGACAGGTTAGCACTGAAGTTTGCCTTAAGGAGAGGGGATCCTTCAGGCAAGCATGGTGGAAAGGAGAAGGAGAACCGAGGCCTGGAAGCCAAGGAAACCGTGACGGAGAGAGGCACGGGCTCTTCCTGCTAGTTGATTAGTGAGGGGGCTGCATCTGAAGGTTCAAGAAGCAAGGAGCTGGCTGGAGATGCAGACGGCCTAGACGAAAAGGAAGGCCAGGCTGGGACGCTTGGGCTTTGCGACCCCGTGGCCACGCTCCAGTGCTAGATGGGAGTGCAGAGCTCCTCCTGCTCCTGGAGGATGTCCACAGACTGTGTCACATCGTGAGCGTTTGCTCTCGCTACTCAAATGACACCACTGTCCCTGGTCTGCCCCATTCTCCTGTTCTATCTCATCCCGTGTCTGTAGATCTCTAGGGACTTCCTATGCTTTCAGATAAGCTCCCTACTCTGGCTAGCATGGAAGGGCTTCCATGACCCGGCCCCACAGCCCTCTCCAGCTGGGTCTTCCTGCGCAGCAACCCCAGAAATTCTCTACAGCTGGGAGGACGATCTGTGGAGGAGCAATGGAGTGACCGGTGGGAGTGTCCTGGCTCTACTTCCTTCCAGGTGACAGAAACCAGAGAGCTTTGGTGAAGTCCCAGAGTAGGGTGACTGGTTTCTCACTCCCCGGGTTTAGCTTGGATGAATTTCAAGCCCCTGAAGCGAAGCCAGACCCAGAACAACAGGGAGCTAACTCTCTGGTTAGTTGGCTCCACAGGAGGGCTTGGGGGCTGCCTCCCATAGTCTTTCATACTCTAGCTTGGGTCAAAGAAAGTGGCTGAATCCCCCAGGTCCCAACCAGCCTAGGGACTGAGAAAACTGGTGGTTGGCAGTTGGCATGGCGGGAGGGCGGAGAGCCTTTGAGTACAAGGATATATCAAAGGTAGACTAAGCCAAGGACCACAGACGTGAGCCCCGGACACCAACATGATGCCCAAAGAACCCTGCTTCTCTTCCTCTGTCCTCCCAATGCATCTCCCCTTGGCCAAAGTGTTCCCCAGTGGGAGGGATGCCAGTTTATATACATGCTCAGGTCTGGTTTCCCTCACGGGGCTCATGGGACTATGAGAGGCACCCTGGACCAGGAGCCAGAGCATCGCTAATCTTGCTATGTGATCTCGGGCAAGTCTTGACTTCCTTCGGGTCTCATCTTCCTCGTAAACAGAACAAAGGCATTACACCAGATGTGCCGACATTTCATTTCTTTCCATTTCAGATATTCTATGATACATATTCTTAGCTCATGCGTACTGCTTTCTTCCCGGCTTTTTCCACTGGAAGATCTTAGGGTATTGATTCTCACTTTGTTGACATGTTACTTTGTACCTGATGCTGGGACTACACAGGTGTAGGAGCCATCTCTCCAACGAGGCTCTAAGTCCCTTGCAACCCAAAATTCCCAGTATGTTCAAATGGGAAAACAATGCATGAACATTGGGTAGCTCTCACTTACTGACTGCTAGGTGTCAGGGGCTTCAAATACATTATCTCCACCCTTCACAAGAAACTTGCAAAATAACCACCATAACCGACATTTAGTTGATAATTTAACTATGGTTCACAACCCCACAAGGCTGGAATGTGTTTGCTTCTACAGTCCTCGCACTTTTTACCACATGACATTGTCTTCTGTTCCTGTCTTTGACATCTATTTTTTTTCTTTTTAAAGATTTTATTTATTTATTTGACAGAGAGAGACACAGCGAGAGGGAACACAAGCAGGGGGAGTGGGAGAGGGAGAAGCAGGCTCGCTGAGCAGGGAGCCCTATGCGGGGCTCGATTCCAGGACCCTGGGACCATGACCTGAGCCGAAGGCAGATGCTTAACCCCTGAGCCACCCAGGCGCCCCTGTCTTTGACATCTATTGCCTGCAGCACCTAAACATGGTGTGGGGCAAGTGGAAGGCTGGGGGTGTGCTGCGTGAACACTGGCTGTGGGCTCAGATCCAGCTGAGTGACTGATACTCACTACCCAGGACTTCAGTGCTGGCTACACAGCTCAGCACCAGGAGCAGCCGCAGGCTGTGGGGGGCCATCTTCCTCTTCCCCGGGGCTGCAGAAGTGCTTCGGAAACCTCTCCTATAAGGGTCTCAGAGACCTTGTGAGTTTTCCCTCGAAGTTCCTGGATTCACCTGGGTCTGCAATCTGAACACAGTGGGTGAGACAGACCCAGGAATTTAGATGCCAAATCACATATGGAGGGAAACAAGGAATGTTTTTCTGGCTAAACCCATATTATACAACAAAGGCAATCTCAAGCTAACTGTAGAGATTAGGAATATTTAATTTATGTCACCTGCAAGGCCTCTGGTCCAGTGCCAGAGACCTAACCGGACTGGGCTGAAGAGTTTAAAAGTCTGGAGGAAAGGCATTTGGTATATTGTCAAGAGCCTGCTCCTGCTATTCTCAGGAGGACCAACAGAGGGAGCCTAAGGCAAACTTTCTCAGAGACGGGTCAGTAACTGTCAACTCCATCAAATCAAGTCAGTCCCAAGAGTGAATTTGTCTATGTTAGAATCAAAAGGGCACATATGGCCCAATACCCATATTTTACAGATGAGAGGACCTGAGGTCTATGGGTATGAAGTGGTTTGCTCCTTGTCACACAGCTACAACTAGATACCCTCACTTTAGGCCAACCCTCTTTCCTTCACACTTAAGTGATAACGACATTTTTTTTTTTATTTTTTCCGCATCACGAGACAGTACATGAATCATTAAAATATCCGTGAAAAACTGGAAAATAGGAAATAAATTCTATCTCCCAGCTATTAGTGAATAGCTTATAGACATCTTTCTAGGTACATCTACATGTCGGTTTGTGTATCATTTTTATATAAATTGAGTCATGTTACCTGGTTTTGTTTCTCAAAAACTGATTGATTGTAATGAACCTTCTTCCCCTAACATAACTATTATACAGTTTTGATCCCCTCTTTAGTATAAATGCACATACTCAGGGCTGTGACTTCACAGAACATGCACGTTGTCACACTGATACCCTTGGCTAAAATGCCCTCTGCATGGGATGTTCTGTACATTCCAGCACATAGACAGCAATGCTGGTTCTCCCAAACTTCAAGGAACACCCAATCTGTCCTTTTTTTTCTTGCTAATTTTGGCACAATAAAGAAAAATCTCACTGGTTAGTATTTTTTTAATATTCATAATTAAATTACTTAAATTGGTAATTTTTAAAATTTTTCAAAATATATATAAAGAAGTTGAACATCTTTTTATATGATGATTGATTGGGTTTTTGAATTTCTTTGGTAAATTTTTGGTTTACAGCTTTGCGCATTTTTTCTGTTTGATTTCCATCTTTTTTCTCAGGAATCTGCAGGGCCTTTCTTTGTGCATTTATTGTCTTTCATATATTACTAAACATATTTCCCACTTTGTATTTGTTCTTGTTTATCTTTTGCCACACTGAAAATTTAGAAAATTGTCATATTTACCTTCTCCTTTATAACATTCGGAATTTATATCAGAAAAATGGGCCATTACCATCCACATAAGATTAAAATATCTACCCATATTCTCTTTTATTTTCATCCATCTGGCATTTATTTTAGTGTAAGCATGCAACTGGGTCCAAGATTTTCTTCCAAACAATTATTAGGATGAGTAATTCATTGATTCCTCCCTTGAGCATACTTTATGATCCAAAAATCATAATACATATTCTAACTATCAAATAATAGATTGCTTAAGGGGAATGATGGAACATAATATTCAAACTTTCCTGGACAATCTGAAGATTTGATCCATACACAGGTCCATGTGAGCACTCTGACACAGTGTGAATAAAGAAGGAAACCAAACAGTGAAGATTGTGATGGACCCACCCCCAACCTTTTACATCATTGCATTAACCCTGCACTTCTCTGAGGCACCCCCCTTCCAAAGGTGATGGAGGTATGTTCAATGTCCTGCAACCCCCTTAAAACACAAACAGCAAGGACTTCTCTGTCCAACCAAATGTCTGAGGGAAGGGAGGTACAGCATCTTTTGGAATAGTCTGTAAGTGGATCTTAACAAACTGACATTCATTGGATGCTCCTATGTCACCTAATCTAATCATAACTAGGCTGCCTTGTAGGTTTCATTAACTTATTTTACACACGAAGACACAAACTTCATTGAGATTAAGGAACTTTCCCAAAGTTTCACGGCTGCTAGATTTCACAGCCATGATTTAACCCGATGCTGACACCAAAGGCAACACTCTTTATAATAAGGGAAGAAAGAAATGCATAGTTCAAGTTAAAAAACACAGCAGCAAAAAGCATGACTAACATCATTAGACCTAGAGCATGTCATTTCTGGCCCAGTGAAAAGCTAGTAAAGGAAAACAGATGTTCAAAGAAAGCCTTCTGCCCTCAACTGGATGATTACCTGGTTGGCCCTCAAGGCTTTGAGGACCCCTGCCTTCTTCGGTGTCCCGAGAGATCCCAGGCAGTTTCTTGAGTTCTTATATCTTCTTGCTTCCAGAATTATATGACCTTTGTTTTAATCATAATGCAATAGTATTGCTTGAAGTAATAATCCATCCATAAAAGTCTTATCTGTGGTCAAAGTGAATGTGTGAGAGAAGGCTTGAGAATGAATCAAATAGCCAGAAGAACCCCTCCCTGTTGGTAAATAGTCTTTCCTTTCCATCCCACCTTATCAAAACTGACAACACCCTGTAATCTGTTAGAAGCCCATCTTCTCTCCCTGTATTTACTTTTTCTTCTGTCAATCGTTATTTTTTTTTTCTTAAGATTTTATTTATTTATTCGACAGAGAGAGACACAGCGAGAGAGGGAACACAAGCAGGGGGAATGGCAGAGGGAGAAGCAGGCTTCCCGCTGAGCAGGGAGCCCGATGCGGGGCTCGATCCCAGGACCCTGGGATCATGACCTGAGCTGAAGGCGGACACTTAACGAATGAGCCACCCAGATGCCCCTTCTGTCAATCATTTTATCTCTTTTTACTGTCAATTTCCTTTATTTCTCCTTCCTTTGTATTAAGATGCCCCACTTCAACTCTGGAGAATCAGGATGTGTCTATCTTTGCAGAAAGGATTTGCCACCAGAGCTGGACATAAGTTATGCACCCCCGTGGTGTGCTTGACGGATCCATACAGACTTTCCTCTTTAAGGCACCAACCCCCTTCAGCATGCACCCCATTCCTCAAATAACTGTTTCAGTTCCTTCTCCTGTTCTTCAGGAACAAGGCACTGAAATCTTGTCCTAATGCGGGGCAATGATGTCAAAATAGCGTACACTGATACAATATTTTACCATGCGGTGTTTTCACTTGAGTCATTACATGAGCTCCTACCAGAATACCTAGGAGTGATGTAGGACATATATCCCCATTTCACACCGAAGAAACCTGATGTTAACAGAGAGTAGAGAGCCTGCTCAGTCCAGATCATAATGCTGGTCAGTGGTGGAGCTGGACGTTGACCTCAGGCCTTCTGTTTCCTGAATCACACAGTGTAATTAAGAAAAGAACCTATTTGGAAAAGGCAACACTATTTCCTTCTCTGGTGTAGGTAGCAAAATATTAAACTATGTTGAAGGTGTCAGAGATTATTCAACCTCAACAGACTAGAACGTTAAGGCCGGGAAGGATAACATTATTTCTCAGGTCCTGTGCTTTTGCTCTACCGGTGAGGAACCTGAGGCCCAGAGAAACAGCAAGACTGACTCAATACACAGCAAGTTTGGAGTGAAGCTGGTATCAGAAGCTAGACTTTCTTCCTTTCAGCTCAAGGTTCTTTTCACAATGCTACTCGGGCTTTGCCATCCGCTTTTTTCTAGCCTGTATATACATCCATGGCAGGACAAGAGAAAGTCATGTTTCCATGTTGTACAAAGTGTATTTTAGAGAACCTCTGCCATTCTGATGATGCTCTGGGGAAAGAACACAAGACCTGGCTTCTGATGGGTGTGGGTTCAGGTCCTAATTCTGTTACCTACTCGCTGTGTAACACTGGGTGTGCTCCTGAACCTCGGTGTGCCTCAATTTCCTAACTGTACGTGGCCGGATATTACCAGATGAATTTTGTTTTTTTACACGACCTGTTAAACACAGCTTTTTCCCCTTTAGGCAGCTGAATGGGAAGCATTGTTGTTTACTGACACAACAAAGAACAAAGATATTAATTCCAAGCCTTTTGCATTCAAAAGCACTGGTCTAGACGTAAGAGAGAAAGTTTTGACAAAATATATGTCTAGGGAGATTTCCCAACCCACAACCTTCACTCTGCTAGCTTCATGTCACTATATAAAGATTTTAAGGTCTTGAGGTACAAGAGGGAAGAGAAGGAGCTGAGATAAGAGGATTAGAAGCTCATAGGACTTTAAGTGGTCTTACACGGAATCCTCCCATTAGTTAGCTCCAAACCAGGGCCTTGATGGAACCCACATAAAACTTTGGAATGTAAGAACACAGAGGACTCAAGAAATATCTGAACTGAGAAGGGCCACTGAATACTGAGTAGAATTATTTGAAATTTTTCTATATGTAGACACATCATACATGAAAGTTAGAGAGAACCCCAAAACTGCAAATCAGCAATTACCTCCAAAACTAGGATCAGAATAGTATCATACCAGAGTAATAAAAATGGAAGGAAAATTAAAATAAATAAATAAATAAATAAATACAATATATAAATAAAAATAAAGAAATAAAATAAAAATAAATAAAATGTGTGAAGGGAAACAACTTTCAACCTGGAATTCTACCCCCCGCCAACCAGTCATTGAAGGGGGGAGGCATGCAATTAAGACAAGTGAAAATTATAAAAACTTAGAAAGGTTATTGTCCATAGTCTGTTCCTGAGATTATTGCTCAAGCATGTCTTTTGGAAAAAAATAAAATAATCCCTGAAGAAGAGAATGTGGTACAATAAACAGATAGGTGTTGATGTTAAATAAGAATTCTAATGTTTAGAATAAGATTCATAGTGACTTTTAGTTTTTCTTTTTAATACAAGCTGTGTCTAAAATAACAACAACAAGAGGAATTAAAATTTGG